GACACGAAACCGCGACGCAACACCAGGGGACCCGGTCCAAAGACTGGTCGGTGAAACCTCTGGCCGAGAGACACGTGGCCAGAGGTTCAGCTGGTGAGCGGCGTACCGAACCGCGTAGGGCCACAGAAAATGGGGGGCACGGGCGTGAGTCAAGGAGGTGCGGGCGATCTCCATGACCAAGCCTATGCGGCGCTCAGCAACCCCATTCTGCTGTGGGGACTCCGGAAGCGTCCAGGACTGACGAATGCCCTGCTCGCGACAGAATCCAGCGAGAATGCCGGAGCAAAACTCACCCCCACGGTCGGAGTGAAGACAGCTGACACGACGACCACGAGTGTCCTCAGTGGTAAGCAACCACCTGATCAGCGTAGAAGTCACCTCAGACTTCTTCGCTAGGTTGAACACTGTGGTGTAGCGGGAGTAGTCGTCAGCGACCACCAGAAAGAAGGCTCACGCTCAGGGCCAGGGCGAGGGGCGGGGCCCCAGACGTCCAAGTGGAGTGTCTCAAAAGGCTCGGTGGCCGGACGAAGGGAGGAGTGAGGGGTGGCGCGCAGCCGACCCTCGACGCAAGGACCGCACGGTGGCGCAAGGGACGGCGGCAGTGACGGTAAGACACTCGAGAGGCCTAAGACAAGACGCTGACTAGACATAGCACGCAGACGAGGAATGGACGGGTGCCCCATCCGGTGGTGCCACAGAACGGTGGGGTGGGCAAGAGACCGGCAGGAGCAAGACGCAGCAACCGGACCAGACACGGGAACCTGAGTAGACACAGCTACCTGGGGGGACGCAGCAACCTGGTGAGACGCAGGGACTAGACGTGGGGTAGGGACAGGAGCCGGGGGCAGTAGCCGCCACTGCTGCTGCTGCTGCTGCTGCGGCTACTGCTGCTGCGGCTGCTGCTGCTACTGCTGCGGCTGCTGCTGCTGCTGCTGCTGCGGCTGCTGCCCTCGGGAGCCAGTGCGAAGCGTGTAGAGGCCGGAGCCCGGCTCAGCAGTAAAGGTGGCTAGAGGCGTGTACGAGTCCCCGTCCACACAAACCGCAGTCTCGCCAGAAGGCTCAACCCACACACCCATGTGCTGACTTGCGAGAGGCCTCACACCCACCAAGTTCCTCGAGAACGAGGGGACGTAGAAACCCGTGAGTGAGCCCAACGGAACAGCTGGGCAAGGAAGCGTAATAGTGAAGCGAGTAGTGACTCGTCCCGAAGTGGGATCAGCTAATGCTACAGAGACCGGCGCTGGAAGTGGTGTAAGCGTCGTGTGGTCGCGGAAGAAACAGTGCGAAGCCCCAGAGTCCAGAGTGAAAGACAGCGAGGCCTCCTCCGAAGCAGCTCCTGGACTAGTGTCTACACAAGTACCTACACTAGCAACAGGCAAATCAGCAACACTAGCACCTAAGCTAACAACACTCGAGTAAACAGAGTCAGAAGCACTAGAGTCAACAACAACATACATAGCATGAGGAGTTCCTAAGAGATCAACCAACTGAGAAGCTGACAACATGCCCCACAGAGCGGAGCCGTACGTCTGAACAAGAGGAAACCAGTCAGGGGCAGGGCCGCCAACGCCGAAGGCCAAACGAACCGTGTCAGTAAGCTGAGCAAAGCACTGACCAGGAGGGTGAGTGCGGCCACACGGCTGACCTCGGCGAGCACCTGTCTGAACCGGATAGGTGCACGGAGGGTGGACAGCAGCTCGCTGGAGCTGACGCTGGCCCGACCCCGAAGCCTGCTGCTGCCGGTGCTGCTACGGGGGGTGCGGCGAGGGGAGCGGCTGCTGCTGCTGCTGCTGCTGTCGCTGAGTCAGGTACCACGCCGCTGCTCCACCCACTGCGGCCGGTAGAACGGGAGGCAACTGACGAACTCGGGCGTCGCCACCACCAGCTGCAGCAGGGGAGTCACTGGCCGCTGCACGAGACGCCTCTCCAGGCCCTTCACTCCCACCACCACCGGTCGCGACTCCAGCCCCACCACCCCCGCCTCCATCGCCGCCGCCGCCCGCACTCTGACATCCCCTCTTCCCACCCCTACCCCGAGACCGCGACGAAGTCGTAGCAGCAGCTGCGGTCACGTCAGTAGTGGCAGTGGCGAGAGAGGCAGTAAAGGTGGGCAGCTGTGGGACAGTGCACCCGTGAAACAGTGGAGGGGGCACAGCACCAGAGGCAGCGGCTACCGAGCGAAGGTTGCTCTCGACGTCCTTGAGTGCTGACTCAAGGACCTCGATAGTGAGCTCACTAGGGTGCTTCAGAAGAAGCGCGTCACGAACCGAGGCAAGGCGGTCAGGGAGGCTAGTGGCGATGAAGTAGATAGTAATCGCCATGGGGGGGGGGGGGGGGGGGGGGGGGGGGGGGGGACAGTGCAAGCTGTGCGTCAGTGCAAGCAGTGCGGTAGCTAGAGTCGAGCGAGCGGAGGTGAGCGATCAAGTCAGTAGAGCACTCAAACGAGGCTAGATCAGGGAACAGGAACGGTAGGAAGAGTCGGCCAAGAGAGACAGTAGTGGGAGTAGCATAGCGGGCCTTAATCACAGTCAGGTACTCGCTAGCAGTGCGAACCTGAGTGAAGTGGGCCTCCTCAGACTCAGGGAGGAGGCTGCTGAGTGCGATGCAGGCCGCAGCATCACGCGGCGTCCACGCCGTCAGGTCAGCGCGCTGGCGGGCAAAGCGGTCTCTGGCAGCGTTGTCAGGGTCAGGGCCTAAAGGCGTAGGGTTGGGGGGCGCAGGGAGGACACCACTAGCGTGGGCCCAGAGGGTCTCGCCCGACTGAACCTGACTCTCTAACAAGCGACGCGCGCGTAGGAGCCAGACCGGAAACTCGAGTGGTCGGCCGTCAGCGTCAAAACGAAGGACCCGAGGGGTCGCCATAGCGAAACTAGAAGCAGCTAGAACGGTAGGTCGTAGCGCGGCGCGAAAGGGAGGGCCCGTGGCAGGGCTATCGAGAAGGCGCGGCGGCGGGCGGAACGAGTAGGCGCAGCGGCGGGCAAGACGTGCAGGCGCGGCGGTTAGGGTTTGCGCGGGCACGGCCAGGGCGGTCGGGGAGAGAGGGTGCGGGCAGGGCAGGCGGTTAGAGAGGGCGCAGGTAGGGCGGGTGGGTAGGGCGGGCAGTTAGGGTTTGCGCAACGGGCAGTGGGGAGGGGAGGGCGCGACGCGACGCAACGCGACGGGCGACGGGCGCGACGGGCGATGGGCGACGGGCGCGACGGGCGATGGGCCACGGGCGTGACGCGACGGGCGACGGGCGCGACGGGTGACGGACGCGACGCGACTCGACGGGCAGCGTGGAGGAGCGCGACGCGACGGGCAACGGGGGAGAGCACGACGCTAGGCTAGTCGGCGCAGCGGGCTCTAACGAACGGGACTAGATCGGGCCGGCACTAGGCTCGGGCAAGACGGGAACGACGAGTACGATAGAGCTAGACATGCTCGGGCGGAACGAACTTGAACGAGAGGAGCGGGATCCCACAGGATCCTAACCTAAGTGATACCATGTTAGAATCGAAAGTGTTGGTTCATTGATGTGGTTTGGGGTACCGTTACAAACCCTAACATCTGTACCCCCTAAGACAAACCTCACTACAGGCTACAACATGTGACAGTATCTGATACCATGTCAGAATCGAATGTGTTGCATTCACAATGTTCGTTGGGGTACATGAATCTAACCCTAACAACTGTACCCCATATGACATGCCTCACTATAGGCTACAACATTTGACAAAGAAGGACAAGTCAGCGTAGCACCTTCCTCATGTTGAGAAGATAGAATATGCAGAGATGGATGAACTATGAGACGATGAGGTACAAGCAGATAGAAAACCCTAACTAGGGTTGTACTCTATACTCAGTACCTCACTATAGCTTAACAGAATCAAGAACATATGAATATGTTTTGACACCTCACTACCACAGAAGTGTTCAAGTCAACCCCGCTTACCGGTAAATGCCTGCATGTCAAGGTTAAGCTTCTCTATTGCTAGTTGTGAGATGCTCATAGGGTACCGTCATACCCCGGATATAAGCGCCACCCTCGGATAAGCGCCTGGCGCTTTTAATTGGCGTGTGGCGCTTATATCCGCTGCTCGATTATAAGCGCACCCCCTGAAAAAAACTTGTTTTATTATAAGCGCACGTAAACTTTAAATTTTGAAATGTGTTCAAAACGCTGTAACGATTTTACTAGCAGGCGGATGTGTTCCGGATTCGGTTCCCTTCACATTCGGACCCTGCACTGGATGCGGGACCAGTCAGCAGGAGCTGTCAGGAGCTGGATGTGAGTCAGATTCACTCGCATCCCAGCGCGCGCGAGAATTTCACAGACGACCCCATGTAACTTCGACTCGATTGAAAAGGCAAGCACGAGATCTACAGTTTGGTGTAAAAAAAACATTAAAAAAAAAATATTTTTGTCATTTTATAAACGCCGGCGCTTATAAATTTACTCGATTATAAGCCCACCCCCCCTAAAAAAACATGTTTTATTATTGCCCCCCATGGGGGTATATCCGGGGTATGACGGTATTTGACTGAAAGATGCGTGTGGGAAGATATTATATATATTTTTGTTTTGTGTGGGACAAAGGCATGTATCCTTGTAAAAAAAGGATGTAGTCTAATCAATTTTGAATTGATGACAGTAGCTTATTTTAGGACGGGTCACCTCTCAAGGTTTTTGCACGATGGATAAGCGCAGGATCGAATGTTTACGGAGTTCAAAACGGTTTGAAAGATTTGTTTTGTAACAAGCAGGTTTCAAGTGCGGTTGGAGATCGGTTTGTTAAGATCAAGTGCAAATTTGAGAGAGGTGACACGTCCTCACTGGCTCCCGTTCCAGAGTGCCAACGAGTCGCTCTTTCAGCCTGGTTTATTTCGCCTTGTGAACCATCTTGCGGGACCAATCACAGGGTCCCATTGCGCGCTGGAGCATTTTATCTAAACTGCCATTTAGCGCCTCGCCATTTTAACCGCCATCTCAAGAGTAAATCCGCGCCATTGGTTAGTCACCAATGGCGGGGCGGTCGTCGCGATCCTCCGCCTTCCCCTCCTCCGCCTCCACCTCTTCCGCCTCCCCCGCCTTTCCCCCCTCCGTCTCCGTCTCCGATCTCCCCCGTCCCGAACCCGCCCGCGCCACTGCGCGCGACGACCCGCTCTTCTCCGCAGTTCCGCCGTGCCCCATGCTTTACGCCGTGCTCCCCCCCGCCTCCGATCCGCTTCCCCCGCTTCCCTCCGCCCATGCGCGCGAATCTTCCCCCGCAAGCAGCGCGCGCAACGCGCACGGCGCCGCTGAGGTTGGCGGGGCAGCGCATGGGCGGAGGGGAACGCACGCGCGGGCGAAATCGTGGGACGTAGGGGCGGGCGCGGAAGGCGGAGTGGAGGGGGGAAGAGCGGCGGACGCGGGGAGCGGAGCTGCGCTTCCGCGGCTAGTGCCCGCCATGATGACGTCACTGTCGCTCACTGTGGAATGCCTGATGACGACAGCAAGTGTCAGCATACAGGGCATGTGGGAAGTGGGGGAGTATGCGGGGGGCCGCGCGCAAGGGGGCGGAGGGGGAGGCGGAGGGGATGGGGGAGGGGATGGCGGAGCTAATGGTGCGGGGGATGGTGGGGGAAAAGGGGAGGAGCAGCAGCAGTGCTGCGACTGCCTGTTTGTGCTGCCCACGTCTCACAGGGTAGGGGCGTGGGGCGATTGTGAGTTACCGAGCATGAGCGAGATGGTAGGGGCGTGAGTGAGAGGGTATGGGCGTGAGTGAGAGGATAGGGGCGTGAAGGGTAAGGGAGTGAACGAGAAGGTTGGGGCGTGATTGAGAGGGTGTGTTGCTGCTGAGCACTCATCGCTCCACTCACTGACACCTCACTACGGACCAACTACCTCCCTTGCACCCGCTCTCCCCCTCCTCCCCAACATTCCCTTCATCCCTTCACCCCATCTCCATCCCCTTCAGTCTATCCTCCCTCCATTCTCATGCGACCACCCTTCCTCCTACCCTTCCTCCTACCCTTGCCCTACCCTTCCTCCTACCCTTCCTCCTACCCTTGCCCTACCCTTGTTGGAAGGCTAGGTGCACACCCTGCCCTACCCTTGATGAAAGCCAGTTACGCATGCCCTTCCTCCTCTTCTCTTCCCTTACTGCTCCCTGCCCCTTGCCCATCTTTTCCCCTTTTCGCCCCATGACACACAACTCTCATCCCCGTTCAAACCCTCAGAGCCATGTGACAGCAGTGGAGGTGACTTTAGCGGATGGAAGGTTCCTCGCAACTGCAGTGCTCCCAGCGGACGAGGCAGAGGCAGCGTGCCGGGCGAGCCAAGAGCGGGCGGCAGCCGCCCTCTCCGCCGCCCAGCCTGTGCCGCCCAGGCCCGCCCGGCCCTCGTTCCTGCGCCTTTCGTCTGCTAGCTTCAGCAGGAGCGGGCCGAGCGGCAGCAGCAGGCATAGGTGGAAAAGCCAAGGGGGAGTGGGGGATGGGGATGGGAGGGCGGAAGCGAGTAGGGAAGGCGAGTGGGGAGAGAGCAGTAGAAGAGAAGGTGGTGTGAGTGGGGGGATGGAGCGAGGGGAGGGTGGGGGCGAACGTGGTGAAGGTGGTGGTGAGAGTGAGAGGAGAAAGGGAGGGGATGATGAGGATGAAGAGGGGGAGCAGGTGGAGGGGAGTGGAGGGCAGCGGCAGCGGTGTGTGGCGAGGCGGCATGCAGCGGTGCTGCTGGATGAGAGTCCCATGCAAACTCCCCATATGCTCAGACTCAGAATACCCAAGGTGCACACAAAACTACACATGGCAAACGAGTCTAGTCTTCATTCTCCAGAACCCTCAAGTCAAAACGACCAGCGATACAATTGATTCCACTTGTATTCAGTCCGCCTGGCGTGAGGGGCTGGCGTGAGGGGCTGAGGTCTAGACACGAGTAAGGCTTTGGCTCAGGCCAGCCTCACCTCGACCCTATGAGGGGTTTGCCTCGACCTTACTTAACTCAGCTTAGTATGATCGATTTGGGGGTGCCTCGACCCTATGATCGATTTGGGGGCGCCTCGACCTTACTTAACTCGGCTCGAATCGAATCGAGTCCTCTCGTGCTCGTGTCTAGTAGTGCACTGCTTCCCACTCCCCTTTCAATACTTGCCAGTCAAACCACTTGGTCCACATCTGCCGCCCTTCCTCCACCGCCAGAACCCTCCTTACCATCCGCCCGCTCCCCCTTTGCCATGGTGTTCTGCTGTGCCGCTCTATCATCTCCCCCTCCTCTTCCTGTAGGTAATACCAGGGCAGCAGTGTGCTTGTGCACGCAACGTACGTGGAGGCGATGGCAGGGCCCAACCCTCATGGGTACAACGGTATGAGTTTTCTCAGTCATCCCTCCTCCCATCCTTCTCCCGCCCCTCCTCTCCCTCACACGGGTACCACAGAGCAGCAGTGTGCGTGTGCGGGCGACATACATGGAGGCGATGGCGGGGCGGCAGGGGAACAGCGAGATGAGCGTGCCGCTGACGTTGCCCTTAAAGTGCCCCCCCCTCTCTGTCTCTCCCTCCCCTCCTCCCCCACACAGGTACCCCAGGGCAGCAGTGTGCGTGTGCGGGCGACATACATGGAGGCGATGGCGGGGCGGCAGGGGTACAGCGAGATGAGCGTGCCGCTGACAGTGCCCTTGGAGTGCGTACCAATCGACCTGGCAGTGCAGGAAGTGGTGCGTGTGAGCTGCACCATTAACAGCGGGCTGCAGTGCCCTATGAAGATCGGCGACTTCAATCACCCCATGAAGGTCAGTGAGAGGCGTGGGTGTGAGTGAGGGGGAGTGTGTATGACTAGTGCGTTCCAGGTAGCTTGGCGTGCCCTTGGAGTGCCTACCGGGTGACCTGGCAGTGCAGGACGTGGTGCGAGTGAGCTGCACCATCAATAGTGGGCTGCAGTCCCCCATGAAGATAGGCGACTTCAACCACCCCACGACGGTGAGGTGTGGGTGTAAGGAGGATTGTTACAAACATTACAACATTCAGAAAGGCGATCAAGCAAAGTCTCCAGCCCACCAATTGGAGGAGGTTTCAGCTGATCGCAAAGGGAATTGCCTTGGATTCCCTCCCCATCGCTCTCGTCTCAGTTGTGATGAACTTAAATACCCTTGGGCTTCATCGCCTAACTGGGAGTCACTTTTGAGAATTCTCAAAAGTAACTTAAACACTCTTGAGCTCCATCACCCAACCAATCTTTTCCGTCAATCTTGCACACTCGCTATCCTCCTTTCCCTTCACCTCTCGCCCCAAACACGCATGCCACAGGTGGTGCTGGTGGAGTTGGGGCGAGCCACGTTTGTGGGCCATCCGAGCGACGACGACCCCGACGCCTGGCCCAATGCCGACTTCACCATCTCCTTCCAGGTCCGCTCAACAATGTCGGCTCCTGTCGGTTTATATTGTTAGGCGCCTCAGAAAGAGACACCCAACAAACAATGAGGATCCCGACGCATGGCCCAATGCCGACTGCACTATCTCCTTCCAGGTCGGCCCTGGGCTCAACAGCGTGGGCTCCTGTCGGTGTCTGTCTTGCCAGCGTTCCCTTCGTTTTGCTGTTATCAGCAACTTTTTTGTTGGATGTGGCCCCTCTCTGTAAAAGCTTGTGTTTTTTCTTCTTCCATTCTTTTGGAGTTTGTTGCCTTTTCACGAGTGGTGCGATGCATTGTGATGGGGTTTTAGAAACAAGATATATGTTTCTATGCGTGTGAGTGATGGCATGATATGATGATGGCACAATGGCATCGTGACATGATCCATAATTCTCACTATGGCGCGGTTGCATTGCATGGTGCCATGGTGATGACATGCGGTGGTCACAATGGCATGATGGGATGGCATGATGGCATGGCATGATGGCATGGCATGATGGCATGGCATGATGGCATGGCATGATGGCATGGCATGATGGCATGGCACTCCATGTGACACCAGGTGGTGACAGAGGACGTGAGTGCAGCAGTGCTCGTGCAGGCACCTCTCATCGGAGACCCCGATCCCCGTGCCTCCTTCGCCCTTTCCATCGCTCCTCCTGATCCCTCCCAATTCTCGGTATGCCTCGACCCTCTTCCTGCTCATGTCTCTTCCTGCTCGTGTCTCTTCCTGCTCGTGTCTCTTCCTGCTCGTGTCTCTTCCTGCTCGTGTCTCTTCCTGCTCGTGTCTCTTCCTGCTCGTGTCTCTTCCTGCTCGTGTCTCTTCCTGCTCGTGTCTCTTCCTGCTCGTGTCTCTTCCTGCTCGTGTCTCTTCCTGCTCGTGTCTCTTCCTGCTCGTATCTCTTCCTGCTCGTGTCTCTTCCTCACATTTTTATTTTTTCCGTTTTCGACCCATTTCTCTTCCACAGTGCTTGCTTGGCTTCTCTTCCCGTGTCCCTGTGTCCCTTCCTTTGTCGCACCAGAGCTCAGGTGCTTGTCCCATTCCGAACCTCCTCTGACATCCGCCCTTGTAACCTCTCCTTTGCCTCCACCATTGCTCGACCTACCAAATTGCAAGTGCCCTCCCCACCTCGACCCTCCCATCGCCGCACACCCCACCAGGTCTTCAGCTGGGCAGTGCTTTTCATCCATTCTCGACAACGAGGTGTGGCTAAGCTGCCCTTTTACCTCTTCCCAAAGTGACCCTCCCTTTGCCAGTCGTCCCTCCACCCCTCTCCACCCCGCTCCACTCCACCCCAGCAGGCGTTCAGCCGAGCCGTCGTGCTCATTCGTGACAGCGAGCGCGGCCTAAGAGGCCGCCCCATGGCCACCCCTCTCCATCCCTCTCCACCCCTCGCCACCCCTTGACAGGTGTTCAGCTGAGCCGTCGTGTTCATTCTTGACAACGAGTGCAGCCTAAGAGGCCGCCCAATGGAGGACGCACGCAAGGCGGTGGCAGCGGCACTGAGGCACTTAAAGCCCCATGAGTCGTTCGCAGTGGTGGTGTTTGACGTTGAGCTGCTGCTGCTGGATGATAAGGAGGCGAGAAGAGAGGTGGCAGGAGAACTGAGGCGAGAAGAGTGGTGGCAGGAGAACTGAGGCGAGAAGAGTGGTGGCAGGAGAACTGAGGCGAGAAGAGTGGTGGCAGGAGAACTGAGGCGAGAAGAGTGGTGGCAGGAGAACTGAGGCGAGAAGAGTGGTGGCAGGAGAACTGAGGCGAGAAGAGTGGTGGCAGGAGAACTGAGGCGAGAAGAGTGGTGGCAGGAGAACTGAGGCGAGAAGAGTGGTGGCAGGAGAACTGAGGCGAGAAGAGTGGTGGCAGGAGAACTGAGGCGAGAAGAGTGGTGGCAGGAGAACTGAGGCGAGAAGAGTGGTGGCAGGAGAACTGAGGCGAGAAGAGTGGTGGCAGGAGAACTGAGGCGAGAAGAGTGGTGGCAGGAGAACTGAGGCGAGAAGAGTGGTGGCAGGAGAACTGAGGCGAGAAGAGTGGTGGCAGGAGAACTGAGGCGAGAAGAGTGGTGGCAGGAGAACTGAGGCGAGAAGAGTGGTGGCAGGAGAACTGAGGCGAGAAGAGTGGTGGCAGGAGAACTGAGGCGAGAAGAGTGGTGGCAGGAGAACTGAGGCGAGAAGAGTGGTGGCAGGAGAACTGAGGCGAGAAGAGTGGTGGCAGGAGAACTGAGGCGAGAAGAGTGGTGGCAGGAGAACTGAGGCGAGAAGAGTGGTGGCAGGAGAACTGAGGCGAGAAGAGTGGTGGCAGGAGAACTGAGGCGAGAAGAGTGGTGGCAGGAGAACTGAGGCGAGAAGAGTGGTGGCAGGAGAACTGAGGCGAGAAGAGTGGTGGCAGGAGAACTGAGGCGAGAAGAGTGGTGGCAGGAGAACTGAGGCGAGAAGAGTGGTGGCAGGAGAACTGAGGCGAGAAGAGTGGTGGCAGGAGAACTGAGGCGAGAAGAGTGGTGGCAGGAGAACTGAGGCGAGAAGAGTGGTGGCAGGAGAACTGAGGCGAGAAGAGTGGTGGCAGGAGAACTGAGGCGCTTGAAGCTGCTGCTGCTGCTGCTGGACGACGAGCTTGAGGCCGCCTCGCCTCTTTCCACTGCAACAACCCTCCCTTCCCCAGTCATCTTTCCCACTCCCAACCCCCGTCCACCCCTTCCCACCCCTCTCCACCCACAGGTGTTCAGCCGGGCAGTGGTGTTCATCCTTGATAGCGAGTGCGGACTGAGGGGTCGTCCCATGGAAGACGCACACAGGGCAGTGGCGGCGGCACTGAGGCGCTTAAAGCCCCACGACTCGTTCGCAGTGGTGGCGTTTGACTTTGAGCTGCTGCTGCTGGACGATGAGCTCGAGGCCGCCTCACCTGAGGCGGTGCGGCGTGCGTGCAAGTTTGTGCTGCAGGCGCATGACTGGCCGCAGCCCACCAACGTGCTCACGCCGCTGCAGCTGGTGGGTGGAGAGCGGTGCGAGTGGGTTGGGAGGGGTGAGATGGGGTGATGTTGATGAGTTTGAGGCCGCCTCGCCTGAGGCGGTGCGGCATGCGTGCAAGTTCGTGCTGCAGGCGCATGACTGGCCGCAGCCCACCAATGTGCTCACACCGCTGCAGCTGGTGGGTGGGTGGAGAGCAGTGCAATTGGGTGGAGAGTGGTGAAATGATGCGGGAATGAGCAAAAGCTACTTCTAGCTCTCATCATTCGCCTTGCATGGCGTCCCCTCATTCGCCCTGCATGGCATGGCATAGCATCACCGCCCGTCCCAACCTTCAGAATGAATGAATGTTGGGATGGGCGCTCATTCAGCAACCACCTCGCCATCCCACCCCATCCCCCACCCCATCTGCCTGTGTGCCCCCTGCACACCCCAGGCGTTCAGGGTGCTGAGGGGCCACACGGCAGCGCTGCAGCAGATAGTGCTCATAACGGACGGCCCAGTGAGGGCGGAGCGCCGCGTGTGCCAGTGGGTGCAGCGCGCCCTGGCTGACTGGGGGGGCACTGCCCCTCGCATCTCCACCTTTGGCATCGGTACGTGTAGTGAATCAGCTATCTAAGTATCGGTTCATTTGGCATCGGCATGATTTTGAGTCGTCTTGATGGGTGTAGAGCCATCCGCACGCCATTGGTAGGTGCGAGCCATTGGTAGGTACGAGCCATTGGAAGGTACGAGCCATTGGAAGGAGCTAGTGGTTGAGCCGAGCATTCGTGTCATGACCACCAAAACATTCTAGAAGATGATCCAAGCAACCTACCAGTGTGTGACGAGCCGGACTGGCCCGTCATTTGCCATTAGCCGGCGCAAATCTGGCTTTCCTGTTAATAGACCCCGGCTCCACTCGTCCGACACATGGCTCGCCAGGAGCCACTCTTCTTGACTCACACACATGCCCTTACTTGCACTGCATCCATCCATCCCATTCCGTCCATCCCATCCCACAACCCCCCCATTCCTTCCATGTTACACCCATCTCACTCCCATCATCCCGTCTCACTCCCATCATCCCGTCTCACTCCCATCATCCCGTCTCACTCCCATCATCCCGTCTCACTCCCATCATCCCGTCTCACTCCCATCATCCCGTCTCACTCCCATCATCCCGTCTCACTCCCATCATCCCGTCTCACTCCCATCATCCCGTCTCACTCCCATCATCCCGTCTCACTCCCATCATCCCGTCTCACTCCCATCATCCCGTCTCACTCCCATCATCCCGTCTCACTCCCATCATCCCGTCTCACTCCCATCATCCCGTCTCACTCCCATCATCCCGTCTCACTCCCATCATCCCGTCTCACTCCCATCATTCCGTCTCACTCCCATCATCCCATGGCTCCCACCCACCCCATTCTTCGTGCCATGCTATGCCCCAATCAGGCCCATCGGTGAATCCTTTCTTCCTCAAGTGGCTTGCTGCTGCCACCCGCGGATCGTCACAGGTCACCCGCAATCCAGGTATCACCCGGTTCTCACCTTCTCACCCTCTCTCTCACCCTCTCTCTCACCCTCTCTCTCACCCTTCTCGCCTTCTCAACCTGTTTCGTTCATCTGGCTAAATAGCAGGGCAGTCAATTCCGTAAGGTGTGGCCTCTTTGCCACTTCTCACTTCGCAGAAGCACACTCACACTGCCACCTTCGCCCACCCCATCTTCACCGCCCCCCTTTCTCATCCCTCCCTCCCATCACCCTTTCTATGCGCACTTTTCCCATACCCTTCTCTTGACTCATATCCATCCCCACCACCCATTTCCACTCCCCCTCTCCATCGCCCATCCCCGACCCCCTTATTCCCCCCAGCGGAGGTGCGTAGGCGGCTGGATGGAATGCTGCAGGCCATGGCTCGCCCGCTCGTCACCAACATTGCCATCCGCGACCTGCCGCCCGCCTGTGAGGTCAGGCCAGGGGTGAGGTGGGGCGAGGGGTGAGGTGGGGTGAGGTGGGGTGAGGGGTGAGGTGGGGCGAGGGGTGAGGTGGGGCGAGGGGTGAGGTGGGGCGAGGGGTGAGGTGGGTGCCGTGCCAGAGAGTATAGTCTACTTTAGGTGAAGTTTCCTGGGCTGAGTTGGGAGTTACATGCAATATCCGGGTGTAGCAATATCCTAACCGCACCTGAATTGCTTTCCACCTCACCAGTAGGAGATTCCCTTCCCATCCACCCACCCCCACCCATTCTTCATTCCCGCGAAACTTTAGTTCCGTTTCTTCATCAATCCGTTCAGCTCAAACCCTGACAGCCATCGGCTGCTCTTGCGTGATCCCCACTCCACTCAACCCCACGTGACCCGGCTGTGCCCCGCACCACACCCATTCCCTGTCCACCCCCACCAGCTCTACCCCTACCCCATCCCGGACCTCTATGCATCGGGGCCAGTCGTGGTGAGCGGCCGAATGGGTGACGAGGGGTCAGCAGCAGGCGGAGCGGAGGGCGGAGGTGGCCTGCCTTTGCACGTGGAGCTGAGGGGTGTGCTGGCCAGTGGAGCTCCCTGGAAGTTCAGAGCCGCCCTCTCTGATGCCGGCAATTTGCCCCTCTCCTCCGTATGCCCTCGCCTTATCTGCCCCTCTCCTCTGTATGCCCTCGCCTGCTCCTCTCTCCACCCCCTCCCACTCCTCACTCTACCCTCGTGCGCTTCTCTTGATGCTCTGTGTTCATCCAGTCATTGAGCCTTCACTCCTACAACTCTCATCCATCTCCCTCCACTGCCAACCTTTCTCCACCTCCTCATCACTCTGCACCCCTCCTCACCCTTTTGCACCCCGCTGCACCGTTGTCACCGTGGGCACGACACCAGGTGGGGGCGGGCGAGCGGGTGGCCATCCTCACAGCCGATGCATGGCTGCACAGCGACCCACACCTGCAGCAGGCGGTACGTGATGTTCTTGTGCGGTGCTGTAGAATGCTGTGCGGTTCTGTGCGGTGCTGTTTCGTTTTGTGCGATCATCCTCACTGCCAATGCAACTCACAGCTGCAGCAGGCGGTACGTGTCCTGCCCATGCCCATGCCCATGCTCATGCCCATGCCCATGCCCATGCCCATGCCCATGACCATGCCCATGCCCATGCCCATGCCCATGCCCATGCCCATGCCCATGCCCATGACCATGCCCATGCCCATGCCCATGCCCATGCCCATGCCCATGCCCATGCCCATGCCCATGCCCATGCCTATTCCCATGCCCATGCCCATGCTCATGCCCATGCCGACGCCCGACCATGCCCATGCCCATGCCCATGCCCATGCCCATGCCCATGCCCATGCCCATGCCCATGACCATGCCCATGACCATGCCCATGCCCATGCCCATGCCCATGACCATAACCATGCCCATGCCCATCCCCATGCCCATGCCCATGCCCATGACCATAACCATGCCCATGTCTTCCTTGTTCCCCTGCATGCCACGCCCACAGGCATGCGCCATGAGTGTGGGAGCGTCAGTGGTATCAGAGCACACGCGCATGCTGCTGCTCGACACCTCCCGCCCCCTGCTGGACCAGCTGCACACCGATCAGCTGCAGGTGCGGCGCACATGGGTGCTGAAGGATCGGTGCATGTTGCAAGGGATTCATGGGTGCTGATTGGTGCATGCTGGTGAGTGGAGGCGAACTGGTGTGGGAAGGGGTGGGGGCAGTGGGTGATGAATGGGCCGGCATGATGTGTGCAGGTGGTGTAGGCGGCATGATCAGCACACCCCTTTCAGCACACCTGCAATGTGAACCTGCAGTGCAGCTTGCCAGGTGTGTGTTGCAGCACAATGACGCAGCTGTGTTGGTGAAACATCGCACGTGTAGAGAAGGGCCAACCCCACCCAGCATATTCTATCATCCTACGGTACTTTCCTCAAACATATTCTACTGCCCATGCTTCATTCCCCCCTCCCCCCCCCCCCAATTTGGTAACCCCCCAGGGCGATATGAAGCCTATATACCATTACGTACAGTCGCCCACCGCCCCTGTCACCATGGTTCCGGGCCTCACGGCTGGGTTCGGAAGCACCCAGACCCGTCCTGCTTCCACCAAACCAAGCGGAGAGGCTCGGAGTCAGCAGCGGCAGCACAGGCGCATGGGTTCGTGTGTGTCCTCAGGCGAGTGGGAGTATGATGAGGGTGAGGAGGAACAGCAGGGCCATAACCGATTGCTCGTCTCAGCCTCACTGTCACAAAGCATTCTAGGAAGCGTACTCGCTTGTTACCGTCCCAAATTCAAATAGTAGCCTATGCTGAAAGAAAGAAGCTGATGGGTTCAATGTCTTCTTGGAACAGCTGATCCACTTGCTAACCACAGCTTGGTTCAGCTACAGCAGCAAGCTTGGTATCGCAAAACAGAAGCCTTGCATAAAGCTGATTGATCATATTAGCATATATACAACCACAAAAGCCACTGATAAATCTCCTTGATGCCCAGTTGACCTCCAGTCATCCTTAGTTCAGAGGTTGAACCAGCAGCACGACTGACTGTCAACTGGGGACCAAGCAATACTCGGGTAACATGAAAAATTACACCTTGGTGTAGGTGGGAATCAGGACTTTATCCACGCCGTGGGCAATGAAGTACGGTCCAGCGTACAGCCTCACAAGCTTGATCGTCGTCCACGCGGCAGGGGGGGCGTTGGGAGCCTTGGCGAAGGAAACCGTGTTACCATTCTGCACCGAAACCTTGTACATCGCCTGCTTCAGCTGCGTCCCCAGCGGCTGCGATTTCTTGAGCACCTTGAGAGCGGGAACGGTGTTCTTCTTGCGGATGATATGGTACGCGGTGATGTTGTAAATCTTCGGGATGTTTTTGTTGTTAGCGGGGACCTTCTTAGCGAGGGCCTGGGCCTCCGTATCGCTGGGGAGCAGAAGGGTTGCATCGCTGAGAGCTGTGAAATCGTACTTGGAGTTCACTGGGGATGGGGAGAGGAGAGAGTGGGGGAGAGATGAGAGGAGAAGTCAATGGGAGTGGGAATGTGAGAGGGAAAGGGAGGCGACCTAATGGCTGCACAAAAACCCGATTGCGCTTAGCAAGCCGATGCGGAAAGCACGCTGCCAGAGTCACGAACGTATTTGCTGCGGATTACGAAGGCGAAAAGAAAAACGTGATCGGGCAAAGAGAAGTTTCTAGGGTTAATCAACCCTCACTCCGAGTGAATACATCAGGGCGCCGTGACTCAGACTGTGCGGCAGTCTGAGTCAGCCGCGAGGGCGCAGGGCTCAGACTGTGTGACATGCTGCTAGCGACGACGATAGCGAGGGCGACGAGCTTAAGAACAAAATAGTGAACTGAGGGGACCCTTACGTGCTAGGCCGATGTACTTGTTGATGTCCTTGGCGTATTTCGAATATTGCGGGTACTTCTTGCTGATGGCGTTGGCCATGTTCTGCAGCTCCGCTTTGATTTGCGCCTTGGTGGGCTTCGCCTGTGCGTGAGCGGTGGCGAAGCATAGCACGATGCAGAGCAGGCCGTAAAGAGGAATGAACCGTGAAATGACCATTTTTCGCGAATATGTGCACGATTGTCGCTAAGAGATGGTTTGGTCGCACAGCTGTGGAAAGCGAGACTGGACTGGAAGCGTTGGGTTTGAGTGCTGGTGTCGAAAGCGGTGGAAGTTGAATGACAGCGAGGAGAGGAGTCAAGCCAAGAAGGCACGAATGTGAATTTGATGAAGGGTTGGAGGCACGAGTTGTAATTTATATTTGACCTGGGGGCTGAAAGCGCGTCAACATGGCCGACATGCGGTGCGGAAAGCGGTGAAGCGGTTTCGCGAGACAGCATTCATTCATGACGAAATCGTCCGTAACTCGCAATTCGGTCGCAACTCTTGACAGGAATCTGTCGCGAAGCCACGACACCTCGCTGGGCTGGGTTTGAAGCGGTGGCAGTAATTGGTCGGTTGAAGTCGCGGTCCGCGTCGGGGTAGGGCCCCAAATTCAATGGCATTCCACCCCATGGCCGACACGCGGAATAGTATTTTCTTGATGCGAGTTTACAGAACACTTCTAACCACTTCAATCCTACAAATTTCATAGTCTTTTTCATGCAAACATTCCTGGTATTCTGCATCAAGACTCTCAGAGTGCAATCTGCATGAAATACCGTGGGGTGATTTAAGCATACCAACCAAGAAAACATCGTTATCCCAAACATATTCCTAAGCGCAGGTGTACTTAAAAATCTGGGCCAAACCCATAAGTGCTTGTCAGAATGAGGAATGGATGGTGCATTGATGTTGGTTGGGGTACATATAGCTAACCCTAAGTTTTGTACCCCCTAAGACAAACCTCACTATAGGCTACAACATTTGACACACCCCCATAGCCTAAGTGAGGGGTGTCTAGCAGAACCAAACGAGTACGGTCACAAGACCAGTCCAAGAAACGAAGCTCAGGGTGGATCACAACGTCACCACACAGTCTGAGCACAAACAACAGTGGCCACAAGGCCAGTCCAAGAAGTAACAGAGGTATATAGAAAGCAAAGTAAACAGTACACTCAAGCCTAAGCAACACGAGAACCAGTGTCAACAAGGCCTAACTGCACACAGCACCTCTGGTGGTCACAAGGCGGAAGCGCCTTGGTGAAGATGTCTGCAGTGTTGGCCTCGGACTCCACAAACTCAAAGCGAGCCTGTCCACGCCTCTGCAACTCTCGCAGAAGAAAGTACCTGACGTGAATGTGCTTCACTCTGCTCTCCAGTCGTGGCTCTCGACAAAGGAGAATAGACGCCTTGTTGTCAGTGAACAAGGTCGGTGCAGAGCTCGGCCGCTCACCAAGGTCGGTGAGCAAGAAGGTCAACCAACGCAGCTCCTGTGCCGCCATGGCACCAGCGTAGATCTCAGCCTCAGCTGTAGAGGTCGAGACCGAAGAGGAGCGCGTGGACCGCCAGGAAACAGCTCCAGAACCCAGGCTGAAACAGTACCCCTGAGTAGACCTGTGAGTCTCAGCGTCGTCAGCGTAAGAGGAGTCACAGTGACCAGTAAGTACGACAGACTGCTGCCCTCCAAGAACTAGCCCCACGCCTGACGTCGTCGCTAGGTACTTCGCCACCCTCACAGCTGCTGTCCAGTGAACAGGACGGTGTCTCCCTGGCGCAACAAAGCGCGCAAGAACGCTGAGAGGGAAGGCGAGGTCCGGGCGAGTACAAGTCATCAGGTACATGAGGCAACCCACAAGCTCTGCGTAGGGACCACTAGGCTCGAACGGCTCGTCAGGAAAGGGTCCAGTGAGTCTGTGGTCAACAGCAAGAGGTGTGCGCTGTACTGTGGAGTGCTGAAGCCCGAACCGCTGAAGGACCTGCTGCACCATGTGCGACTGTGAAAGTGTAATGGTGCGAGCAGCTCTGTCCCTGGTGATCTGCAGGCCAAGGTAGTGGCGCAGCTCACCAAGATCAGTGCAGGTGTGTCTCTTCTGCAGTTCGGACTTCACGTGTGCCAAAGCAACCCTGTCAGGGGTGGCGAAAACAAGGTCGTCAACGTAGACCAGAACAAAGAAAGGTGTGGGGCCACGACGAACGAACAGCGACGGGTCAGCAGAAGACGGCTGGAACCCAAGGTCAGACAGGGTAGAACGCAGGGTGTCGTGCCACTCACGAGGAGCCTGACGAAGACCGTAAACCGGTCGCCTCAGCCTCCACTGGGTCCCAGGAGGGAAAGAGCCAGTGAAGGCAGAGGGACGACGCAACCAGACCTCCTCGTGAAGACTGCCCTGAAGGAAAGCAGTAGAGAAGTCGAGAGAGTGTAACTCGTAGTCTCTCTGTGCTGCTACGTGTAGTAACACCCGAAGAGTGGTCATCTTCGGGGTGGGCGCGAAGGTCTGAAAGAAGTCAACTCCCTCGCGCTGACTGAAACCTCTAGCCACGTAGCGCGCCTTGAAGACCGGAGGAGATCCCGGTGGCCGCTTCACCCTGTAGATCCACATGCCGTCGACTACGTTCGCCCCCGGAGGGGGAACCTCATCGACGTAGATCCTATGGATCTGTAGGAGGCCATCTCTGCGTCCATGGCAGCTCTCCACTGAGAGGCCCAAGGCCCTGACACTGCCTCAGCGTAAGTGCGAGGAGTCGGAATGTCAAGGGCGTCGGGGTCACCCTCAGGGGCGAGGAGCATGGCACAGAGATGAGGGGAAGCGGCCGCCAGGAACTCTAGCTCAAACTGCTTGTCCTCTAGGGCGTCACAGCCAAGGGCAGACACACCCCCGACGGCCAGAGGACTGGAAGGAGGAGCTGCCACAAGAGCGGTGGCGAAGTCAAGGCGGCGGGTAGAGGCAAACTCAGTGACTGCGGCAGTAAGAGCGGACACAGAGGACACAGAGGCACGAGGGTGGGTAACAAGAGAGGCGAGAACACGAGAGAGAACAGGACGGTACGTGCGGTAGTAGTCAGTGACAGGAGTAGGAAGCGACGCAGTGAGGGCCGACTCAGGAGGAGACGGAAGCACAGACGGAGACGGACGAGGTGGACGAGAACAAAGGAAGGCTGTACGAAGGTCAGTGAAGGGAACAGGAGACGAGGGACGAGCACGAGGGGAGCGACGAGAGGCCCAAGTCTGAGAAGGAGGAGGGGACAACGAAGACTGAGAACGAGGGAAAACAGCGGGAGAGGGGTCAGGAGGAGGAAGCGGAGGACCAGAGACGGGAGGAGAGGGGGAGGAGGAAGGAGAGGGAGACGGGAGACCAAGGGTCCGAAGACCCGAGACAGGAGGAGGAGACGGCAGCAGCTGCTGCTGCTGCTGCTGCTGCTGCCGCGGCTGCTGTGGCTGCTGCTGCTCCAGCGGCTGCTGCCTCTGCTGCTGCTCCTGCTGCTGCTCCTGCTGCTGTCGCTCCTGCTCCTCGAGCCGCTGCAACTCTCTCTCCTCTCTCTCCAACTCCAGCTGCTCCTCACGAGCACGGCGAACACGAGCCTGGAACCTGGTCGGGTAGGGGTGGGGGGAAGGAGTAGTGT